TTCTATGTTGCATAGCCGTAGCTGATCAGCCAGTCTCCTGTTGCTGGACGTGGAGCAAGACCACAGGTAACACCCTTCTGTAGGTCCACCTCGGCACCCCTGATTAGTTCCTCAGCATGAGCTCCCGCGTGTGGCCTTGCAGAGCGCGTGGTGGGCGGTGCTGAGACGCTCCCCACCCGCCGCCACGTTGACCACCCCCCCCACCAGAGCCTGTGTCCTCGCCTTTCCCACCAGCGGTGTAAGAAACAGCCCTGTCCCTCCACGCTCCGCTGACACCACCTGTCGTGACCCTCTTTACGAAATGGGCCCGATGTCCTGAGTAAACTACGGGTTCTTGGTGTTTTCGGTGGGTATTCCTTGGATCGCTCCTGAAGCCGACCGTGTTTTTCCCTTTGTCTCTTTTCTGGGGTGGCAGACCTTTCCGGTGGCTGCACTCTTTTTTCTTTCCCTGCCTGGCTGTTAGCTCTCTCTGTAAAGAACGGTAACCTCTGTCTGTCAGACGTGACTGCTCATTCTTTGGGCGGCTCCGAGTGTCCCAGGTCCTCCTTCTACGGACGCCGTAGCTTGTCCTGGTCAGTCCCATCGGCCAGGCCTTCCACACCTGCTCCAGGGAAGCATCCGCAGTCCACCTGATCGGGCCCCACCTACCCGCCCGTGTCCCCTGCAGCCTTTCTCATCCTAACCTAGGCTCCACGCACACCTACCCCTGGGCCAATTCCTGGAACGTGGTGGGGTGACTCGGGGCGCCCAGCCCTCGTTCCAGCCGGTCTCCCACCCCTTTCTTCCCTGGTGAACCCTTCAGGACTCAGCTCGGTTCGAGTTACCTCTCTGGGGAGCTCTTGCGAACTCCCCAGGCGGGACCAGACCCCCACCGTGTTTCTCATGGGAGCGTGGGCCCCCCAGACGGGCAGGGGTCAGATGCCTCTCTCTATCCCCAGGGCCCGGGACACGGGTGACATCAAGCGGGGGCTTGATGAGTGTCTGTAGCCAGAATAGATGGAGGAAGGAAGGAATAATGAAGTCTCCCCCTATCCTTCCCTGCCCCCAGGCTGGCTGATCAGGCATCCGAGGCCTGCAGTTGTCCACCTACCCCCCTCCCTGCCTCAAGTCTGCTCCTGTCCGGGTTTAAACGTGGAGGATGTGCAGGTGGCTTGGGAAATTTTCACCCTGCGAAAAACCACCTGTGGGACCCGTTATGTGACCTGGGCACTTTCTGGGTCTCTTGGGCCCTCACTGCCCTCCCCTCTAAGCAGTCTCTGAACTAGGCTGCCTTGGCCAGGACTCTGGTGTCTCCCACAGAAGATCCCGCCTCTAACCGAGGGTTCCCCGTTCTGCACGGCAGGGCTTGTGGTCCGCCTTGGGGAAATCTAGGAGACTGGATCCACCAAGCTTCAGTCCTGACCTGACATCCACCCAGGATTACCATCACTCTCCGACTGTCAATTTGTAAGCAGGACAGAGCGGGTCCACACTGTGCAGACGAGGACACTGAGGCCCAGAGTGGGAAGGAAGGACTTGCTGACGTTGTTCAAGCACCTGCTGTGTGCCAGACACGTGATATCCCTTAATTCTCCATGACGTCCTCCCCATTGCGTAAATGTGGACACTGAGGCTCAGAGAGGGACGGCGACTTGTCCAAAGTCACACAGCAAGGAACTGGCAGAGGCTGAGTGCAAGTCCAGGGTGTGGGATTTTTTTTTTTAATTTTTTTTTTAACGTTTATTTGTTTTTGAGACAGAGAGAGACAGAGCATGAACGGAGGAGGGTCAGAGAGAGAGGGAGACACAGAATCCGAAACGGGCTCCAGGCTCTGAGCGGTCAGCACAGAGCCCGACGCGGGGCTCGAACTCACGGACCGCGAGATCATGACCCGAGCTGAAGTCAGATGCCCAACCGACTGAGCCACCCAGGCGCCCCCAGGGTGTGGGATTTAGAACAAACATGTCGTAGGTGGGGCTGATGGATCTGTCCCCAGGGCAGTTGTGAGGACGAGTTGGGATAATAGGCACAAAGGCACCTGAAACAGTGTTTAAGGACTATTAATAAAAGTGAAATCTTGTCTGTGTCCACCTAGTCACATGGCGAACAGGGACAGAAGCCCAGGGGAGGCTGCAACCTGCCCAAGGTTAGGGCAAGCCCAAGCTCACTACCCCCGGGACCACTTTCTTGTCCAGTTAAGGGCAGGGACTATCCCTCCAGGGCCTTTTCCTCCCCAGAGAGTGGAAACTTCCCAAGTCCCTGTGACCCGACTGGAGGGTGAAAAGAGCCAGAATTTCTGCCACGGTACATGGATCTGGAGCCTGGGGCTGAGGGCTGACATCCCCGGGCTCGCCAAGGCCTCCAGACCTGAAGGGCAGCCCACCCACCCCTGGACCATCATGAAGACCTCGCCTGCCCTCCTCCCAGTTCATCAACCAGTGAGAGGGGCCGTCCCAGAGGCCCATGTTCTTAGAGGAGACTGAAAGTCGCCAAGGCCAAGGGAACAGAGCGCAGCGATGGGATTTCAGGTGTAACAAGCCAGCGAGGCAAATCATGGACTTTGGGAAGGTCAGAGCCAAATGGAACGAGAGCCCCGCTGCCCCCTTGCTCGTCAAACTTTTAAAAAGCTGCATGGGGCGCCTGGGTGGCGCAGTTGGTTAAGCGTCCGACTTCAGCCAGGTCACGATCTCGTGGTCCGTGAGTTCGAGCCCCGCGTCAGGCTCTGGGCTGATGGCTCAGAGCCTGGAGCCTGTTTCCGATTCTGTGTCTCCCTCTCTCTCTGCCCCTCCCCCGTTCATGCTCTGTCTCTCTCTGTCCCAAAAATAAATAAACGTTGAAAAAAAAAAATTAAAATAAATAAATAAGTAAATAAATAAAAATAAAAAGCTGCAGACCCTTCCTTTCAAACGGAATCCACATCATGTTCTCCTCGGCACCCCCACGTCCCCATAGTCGTTGGCAAGCCCCCCACAGAGGACCCCCAGGCAGTGAGCCCTGAGGAAGAAGAGCCTGGCAGCCAGGAGCCAGCCTGGCCCTCCCAGCTAGGCCTCCAAGTCCTGTTGAACATGAACAATTTCATGCATCAGGCGAAGGCCGCTCTGTGCCCATGACGGTCAAGGCAAATCAAGGCCACCGCGTAACTGTGGCTGAGCCCAGGCAAGCAGGAACACACAACACACAACACACAACAGTGAGCACACGCCAGCCTCTCGTGGCTGGTCCGTGAGCTCTGCCCGTCTGCCAACGACCCAATGACAGCATTAGCTTGGGCCTAGCCTTCCCTCCTTCTAGATCAGACGGATTAATCAGAGGATTAGTCCTGCTTCCCACCAGTACCCGGTGTGGGGCAGAGCCCCACTTCCCCAGGCCCTCCCTCAAAACCCCTAACTCCTCAATAAGCTCTTTCTCACCCCCTCTGAGACATGGCTGCCTTGGGGTCTGTCGCCCTCATGGCCATAGTGAACCCAACTATTAACTATGCGTGAGCTCTGGGTGGGCATCTACCCAGGTGGATGGATTCTATCAAACATCTAACTCTGCAAAAGTCAAAGGCAGGGGGCCATCTCACCTCCCTTTTGCACACGAGGAACGTGAGGGCCCCAGAGGCGACCAGACTTGCCCCAGTTTGCAGAGCGGGGTGAATGCATAATTTATCCTTCAGCTGGGACAACTTTGATAGTGAAAGGGTCCACGAATAATGAGTGGGGACAGTGGGCATAGACCAGGACTGCCCAGCGCTGACGATGCATACGGGATCCCCATCACGCTGCAAGACATGGGGGGGACCCAGGACTGGCAAAGCCTGAGCCTCGCCATCTCTCTCCGCTGCCCCAACCCCCACCCCCACCCCCGCCCCGTGCCACTCCCCGGGACAGGGTTAGGCT